CCTCCTCCTCCTCCTCCTCCTCCCTACGAATATCATGGCAAGGTCCTTGGCCTTTTTCACTCCTACTCCTTACTCCTTACTCCTACCTCCCGGGGGGCCGTGGGGGGCCGTGGCATGGCATGGCATGGTATGGCATGGCATGGTATAACTACCCGAAGAGTGAGTATCCACCTTATCTACCGACCCACCTTTTCTGGCCTATTATCTTCTAATCCAACCCTTCCTATCAATCCGTCACTAATATCTATCTATCTATCTCTTTAATCCACATCCTACTTTGTGTCCAACTGCAGATATGTGCGACGTGTAAGATAACATTACCAGGTACATGGTACATGGTACAAAGGACGAGGTACGAGGAAGCGGAAAAACCGGCAAACAAAACAAAAACACAAGAATCATGGTCATTTTTGAAAAAATTGGAATAGGAATTGAGATTTGTATTCGTAAATCTAATCATCCGTCATTTTCAGTTGTCCATTCATCACTCATTAGATACCCCCGTACCCTGCCATGCACCACGAGTAGCGACGCCCGAGTGAATGTGCCGTGGACCATGTACCATGTACCATGTGCCGTGACATGACATGACATGGCATGACATGGCCTAGTCAACGTGTGGACGGCCGCGTGAGAGAGAGAGAGAGAGAGAAAGCATGGAGGCGGGAAGAACGGAGAAGAAACCCCGGAAAGCTTCAACTCCAATGCAGGACGCCTTGCTGGCCAAAACATATCCGTCCATCCATCCATCCATTTATCCGGTGGTCTTGAAAAGCGCCAGAGCAGAGATAGGATACCCGGCAGTGGTCGCGCTGTGCAGAATCTCGGAGAGTGAGACGAAAAAGTCATGTCCGTGGATTCGTTCCTCATCTATCTAGTCAGTCGCCCAAATACTCCTTTGAATGCGACCAGTGTTGCAGCGTAACGGTGCGAGCGTTTGCCCTCATCAAGCCGCTTTGCCACCCAGAAGCGGCTCTCTTTCGCGATCACCGACCGCCTCGACTTTCGTCTTGGATCCCCCCTTTTTCGATGCCGAATCCTTCCGAAGCCATTCCTGCACAACTCCCCTGTAGTCCTTAGCCATGTAGGGGCTGAACAGCTCGGCAAAGAAATTCCCTTTCCGCCAGTACTTCAGGTTGAGGTCCTGGAGGAGCAGGTCCAGATACGGCACTTGGTCGAAGACCAGGTCCGGGAAGAATCGGCCGTGGCCGTAGGGTGCGCGGTGCTTGGCGTACTGTGCCGTCAAGGCTGCCTCGTCGAATACAGAGGCCGGGTCGATGTCGAGTTTGTGGTTGAGGTACGCGTACGCCCAGAGACATTGTAGCTCGCACCGCGGCGTGTTGGCCAGGTTGGAGAACATGCTGATGAACGCGAGCGAGTTGTCACCGTCCCGAGTTGGCCCGGGCGGTGCGATGGCGCGGTAGAGTCGGAAGGGCGTGTAGTTGACCTCGCGATCCATGCCGGGGTTAAAAGGTTGGATGACGGTCGACGTGGGTGATTTGAACGGCCCAGCCAGTAGGCGCGGGAATTTGGAGCCGATGATCATGTTGGCCTTGTCGTTCAGGTCCTGCCAGAAATTATACTGCTCCTGGCTGTAGCTGGTGGACGGAATACCGAGGTCGGCATGTATGGTGTCGGGGACGAACTTGATAGTAGAATTTGCAGAGAAGCCTGTCGCGGTAACTAGAGCGTCGGCTTGGATGTTGGAGCCACTGGCGAAGTTGATGGCACCTTTGGACAGGCGGAGGATGTCTTCGCGGTGGACTCGTACCTCACCAGTCTTGATCATCTCGTAGATGTCCTTCTCGTAACTATAAATTCCGGACGCAGTGCCGTACCAGAAGGGGCTATACATGTGATGTTAGACGAGCTATTGATTCACAGGGGAAACATACCTCTGCTCTGGCTCCAAGACCTTGGTTCTCTCATCTTTCAACATGCCGCAATCGTCCAGGGTCGCCTTGTGGAGATTGGCCCAAAAGCCCTGCGAGATAATCTTGCCGAGCTTGGTGAAATGGAGGAAATTTCTGATCCAGCCGAACCCGTCATTCCACAAGCACGGACTGAAGAAGGATACGAATCTCCTGGCCGGGAGTTTTTCTCGCACTGCTTGTAGTGGTCCCATGGTACGGGCGGGGAAGATCCATTCAGGACCCTTGCCCGACTTTCTGATAATCCATTCCACCTTCTTACCAGCCTTACCGGCGAGATGGACGGCATCGTAGGCAGACTTGCCACCTCCCAGCACTGCAATCGTTTCGATACTAGGGTCATTGGTGAGAACGCTGCCCTTCATTCCCAGTTCTGCCGAATGCATGATTGGACCGCCAAAATCCTCCGAGCCGCTCAGTTCTGGTCTGTGTGGCACATTTGTGACACCTGTCGCGACGATCAACTTGTGCGTCTGCAGATCGGCCCCTGAGTCAAGTTTGACATTCCAGCCTTGGACGTCTTTGAGCTTGGAGATTTCGGCGACGGTCGAGTTGAAGTCGATTAAACGCAAGAGGTCGAAAGTTTCAGCATACGCTCTGATGTACTCGTGCATTGCTTCACCGGAGACATGCTGACCCTCAGGCACGCCAAAGCCATCGTGCATGGGAAAATCCGAAAAGTCGATACCGCCACGGACATTGTTCGTCTTCAGGCCAGGATAGAGATTCTCTTTGGACCAGACACCACCAACCGTTTTGTTCTGATGCGTGAATGAATCAGTACGTGAATCAAACCCGCCGTCCAGCACCAGTGACAACTTACAGAGTCCAGAATTTTCACCCTGGCCTCAGGCTCACATTCGCGTATCGTCTTTGCGGCGCACAGCCCTGAGGGGCCTGAAAGACCTGTTAGCGAATTGGAGGGGTCTGATTGGAAGGGGTGAAAGGGATCGACTTGCCTGCTCCGACAATCAGATAGTCGTACATGGCATCGGTTGACATGTCAAAGTCCGGGGTATCAGGTGTCACGTCGCTCAGCACGTTGCAGAGATCAGCCGGGAGAGCAAAGGCGGAATAATCACAACAAGGGATATGAGAGCCATTTTTCTAGAGAAGTGAGAGAGATAGGGAGAGATGGAGGGGGACTGCCTTCACGACAAAACTCGGAGGGGTCTGAAAAGTGAAGAGAGAGAGAGAAGATTGTGACGGATTCGGCACCAACCTGCTTCCCAATTAGCTCCGAACAGTCAGAATCGACCTTTCACTTCACTTTGGCCATGATGTTTGGGAAAGAGACGAAAAATCCACAGCCTAAATGCCACCTAGGAAGTGCCCAGAGTCAGCCCGATCCGTAAGCTGATGGCAGTGATCGAGGCGATGGTGTTTGGTGGTAGTGGTGGTGGTGGTGGTATCATCATGGGTGGCAGCCCGACTGCGTTTTGGAATCCAACCAATTGACAATGTAGGCGTGGCTGTCTCGACTCTCGCCTCTCGCACCATGTGGTTGGGCCTGATCAATAATGACAGGGCCACTTTTTCGGTTACCGACAAACCTTTGGGCAAAGCGATAAGGACCTGTCAAAAACTGTGGAGGGTGGAATAGACTGATCGGCTGAGATCTTCCAAAGTTCGGGCTGGAGCGCAGGCGGCGAGCAGTGAGTGGCTCACCAGCTCGCTCACCTCACCAAGGCCCAGTCATCAATGCGCAGGTGGGGGTTTTTCGTGGGGGCGTCACAAAGAGTCTCTTCTTCTTCTCTTCTCTCAGGCTGTCTCTCTCTAGGGCGCAGGCACCCGAACCGCTTCAGCCGCATAACTCGGTACGAGAATCTGCAAGGCCACCACTCCAACCTTCCTCGCATTTTGCCTTGATCGCCTGAAGTTGTCGTCACGGGCCGGCTTACATACATACACAACACCTCCCTACGTACAAAGTACCTACGAGAGACAAGCTGCATGCCAACGAACACCAACGATCCTGGCGTAAGACCCGATGATTTACTAATTCCTGGAGATCCAATCGAGCAAGCCAAGTCAGATTGGGACACATGCCGGGGGCCTTTGTCCAGCATGTGGCGTGCACAAGCGAGGAACTGTAAAGTCAAGTCCGGAAGAGGATGACGAGGAGAAAAGAGGCCATTAATATTATTGTGGATAGGCTCGTTCCGGAATAAACCCCTTCCTACCACGCGCTTACTCGTAGCCATTGTGGTTTGTCACTCACTGTGGACGACGGTCTCAATTCGGTTCACTGTGGGATAAAAGTGCACAATTCTTCGTCTGGTGGTCGATTACACTCCATCTTCACGAGAAACATCCTCTGCTGTGCTGGCTTCAAGATCTGATGATCACGCCCGCGCTCATCGTGTCCAGCAAGTGAGCCTTTGAATCTTGACAGTGCCCTCTGGGATTGTTGATGTCGTGGGACACTATAAACCCCTTGAACACCTTCAACCGATGGCAACCGCAGTCTCAGTCGCAACCTTTTCGTTGCTGAAAATGACCTCTTCGTGCCTGACTTCACCGTGATCCTTCTCGCTAGCACTGCTTCCGTCCTCCTTTGCAGCCATGGCCACGGCGGCAACTGATCCCACACACTTGTACGTGCGGAACTTGCGAGCGGGCAGACGTGCTTCGAACTACACGAACAACCCCGGGTTAGCAATGTACTCATTATTCGGGTGGATTCTCTGTCTAGACTCACCATTTCGTCGATTTCCTCAAAAGTCCGGTTCTGCACCTCGGGGAGGTAGAAGAACGTCCACAATGCCCCGATCCAACACGACGGGGTCCAGATGTAGCCATACTTGGGTCCCCAGTTCAACGAATCCGGGTTGATGAAATATGGAGCGGTAAAGGTGGCGAGCCAGGCTCCCAGGAAGCCGATCGACGCTGCCAGCCCAAACGTGTAGCTTCGGAGACGCTGCGATGGGAACTCGCCGCCACAAAGCCACGCGTAGGTTGCCACCATGCCGTTGTAGCCAACGATGTAGACGACGGAGACGCCGACAATGACCTACACCGAGTGCGTTAGAAAAGACCATCGTAGCTATCATGACCAGGACGGGTCCAGGAGAAACTCACTCGTCCAGTCGAGGTGCTCGGGCCCTTTTTGTCGTACACGACGGCGACAATGAGCTGCGTGAGGCCGCAAAGGATCATGCCGATGGTCAAGAAGACCCGCCTGCGACCCCATTTGGTGATGACGGCGCTGTTGATCAGGATGGCAGCGACCCCCACCGCGACCAGGATGCACGAGTTTTCGAACGCGGAGCCGACATGAGCCATCTCAAAGAAATAGGTGCCGTACGCTGGAGGATCCTGGTTAGCGATCCTTATTTCAGACAAGACCTGCTGCACAACTCACAGATCATATACATGGCACCAGAAGCCGCCTGGAGAGAGACAGCCCCCACGGAAAGAAGGGTGCGTCTGCGGTCGACAGGGTTGCGGAACATGTCCAGGATGTCGGCGCTCTTGGCCAAGGCTCGCTCGGCCTCGATGGCGTCTTGGATCTCCTTGATCTCGTCGTCGACCGTCTCGGGATAGGGTCGGAGCCATTTGAGAGCCTTGCGGGCTTTCTCGGCCTTGTCCTGGAGGAGGAACCATCGGGGGCTTTCGGGGATAAAGAGCATGCCGACGGACAAAAACCCCGGTACAATGTAGATGATCCCCAGGGGGACAATGTATTGCTGTTTGCCATCGAGCTTGACGGTGAAGTTGTCGATGATGGTACCAACCAAGGTCCCAATTGACGTCCAGGACTGGAAAAGTGCAATGACGAGCCCTCGAAATTTCGCGGGGGAACACTCCTGGAGATATAGCTGTGAAAAGGTCATGAGCATGCCGTTGGCGATGCCGATCAGGAACCGCGCGAAATATAGAGCTCCGATGCTCGTCGTGGCCATCATGATGACATTCGCCACGACGCACAGCAGAGCCGCGATCCAGATGGACATCTTTCGGCCGCAGAACCTCGCAACGGGGCCGGCAAAGGAAGAGCTGATGAAGGCGCCCAGGATCATCAGGGACGAGATCAGCTGCTGGCGTGTGTGGGAAATGTTGTACCCGATGGGCGAGTTTGGATCCTCTTCTCCAAAGACCTGTCCATCGTTATTAGAGCCGACGTTCGTAGACACATATCATCCTCTCGACGAGACAAGCATACATCCAAAAAGCCAGGCATCGCCTGTAAACCACCAATGATACCAAAATCCACCCCATATTGGAACGGACACATGCTAACCAAGGTACATGCTGCGATGCACTTCCAATGCGCTTTAAGGGTATCAGGCCTTGCGGTCGCCATTGCGGTGGTGAGTCTCGGATTGCCAACGAGGATCCAAGGTAAAGGATCAGGTGAGGTTGGCTGGGATGTTGCACTCCTCCAGAGAGTCGGTTGACATATCTCTGAAAACACCCCAGCAAAAGCTCAACGTCCGTTTTAAGGCAGTTGGGATCGAAAAGGTCCGGGGGCACCTTGACGATTCTGGGATAGTTTCAGTGTCGTCGATAATGAGGGGGACAAGCCCCACGTAGAGGCGAATGATGGTCTCATGCTAGCTTGTGATAGGCAACAAGTCTGCCCAGTCTTCCCAGCTCCTAGGCGTTCTGGGCGAGGGTCCGGGGAAATGCTGGAGTAGACTAAACTGAAAGCCGGCAATGACCCACTGGCAAATTGGAATAATGAATGTGATGCCTAGACAGACCCTGGCTTCGGCGGTCATTCAAGTCGGTGAGAGCTCCCAAAAAGCCCAGCCTCGTCCAGTCGTGAGTTGATGCGGCTGTCGATCCAGTGCCAATTCATTGCCTCATCACAGACAGCCACTTTTTGAATCATCACATTTCACATGGCAAGACTTGTCCTTGAACAAAAAACTGTTGGAAGTAGTGTCGTCTCCTGTTCCCACATCATCAACACATAACCTGGATAATCTATAAAATGGATTGCGATGCTGGCAATTGGAACGCTCACAAGAAACTGAGGGCAGCTTGCCATCTCTTGTGGCGATAGGGAGGCCCGTCGCAAGTTCGTGCCCAGAACACCAGGGGGGCCGGAAGTGCGGCCAGGAACGCGCTTCCGAAGGTCTCTCATGGGAAAATGCTGCCCATGGGCGGAGGGTCCTGTGCTGTTGCAAACATTCAATCGTGGAGATTTCCAACTCTGATCTACACAGATCTGGACACTGGTCTCTTTTGAGCGTCCTCGTCGGCAGTGATCGAATTCTCCGCAGGGAGGAGGGCGACTTGTCGATGGTTGGGAGCTTCGGCAATTTGTTTGAAGCCGGTGTGTGGGTTTAGTCCGTTGTGGATGAAGCTGCTTCGCCCTTTAACCGAATCATATTGGGACGTGTGTCACCCAGTCAAACACAGTCACCAGGTCAGGGATGCTACCTTTCTGTTGGCTCAAGACAGGGTATTTGCGCAATTCATTTGCCAAAAAAGGCAACCCAACAAAGTCGTTATTTCCAGCTCTAGACTTCTTCAAGGGCTGGAGTATCGGCATGCTATACTTGTAAGGGCCAAGAGATGAGGGCAACCCACAAAACCAATACTCCAGCCCCAGTCGGTATCCCATTTTTGGTGTAGAAGGAGAGTTACAAGCCAAATACCCACCCATATACGCTCTGGGGCTGAAATGGTCTTAGCGAACGTTTTCTGGGGTAAAGAGATGGACGGTAGAGGGCGTGTTTTGAGGCTAACGACTATCTCAGTTATCGCATGACTGACGTTTGCAGGAGGTAGTTGAGAGTTACGGGTCTACCATCCATCCACCTTCCAGGCCTCTTGATACGCGATGTACATTAGGTTGCGAGCTGTGAGGTTCCTCGCGTCAACAGAGGGGGACTTCTATGAGTAGTTGACACTGGACCGGCTGTTGTAGACACAATCATATTGCCGATCGGGGCTCCCACATGCTTCGGACCGGGGAATGCTTGATCATGGCAAATACGTACCTCAGGCAAGGACTTCGTTATTGCGGTGTCCGAATACATTTCTCCATCATCTCTTGAAACATGTCCTCCCTGGGCCATGCACGTCCAGACACTGATTGGCAACTGTTCTTGGAGTCGTAGCTGAACTTTGCCGACAGTTCCTCCACGTCCTCCCTGATGCTCGCGTAGGTATATTGGGCACACCTCATGAATGCGGTGCCATCTGATCTGAAGTGCTGGCTGTTTGCCGATTCTGGTCAGCCATTAGAGATTCCCCTTTCACGTCTGTGGAAATGGCCATTCTGTGCGACGGGCCCAGCACTTTCCACACGGCGGGGACTTGGGCATTCCGCGGGCATTGGATAAGGAGGCAATGACTTCGGTCGTCTCAAGGCGGCTTGTCATGTGAGGAGATCTTAGCAGACAACCAATATACTCGAAGCCTGTGAAGTATACGTCTGGTGCCGAAAATCTAGACTCGAGTGCGATGCGAAGCCATATCTTCTAAGAAAGATCGACAAGTTAGGTCTAACTTCAAGACATCTCAGGCTGAATGCTAAGGTGGGTTCAGTAGACTGCTCCCCACAAGGAGTTGATCAGAGAACACCAGGGCACTTTGAGCGACTATTCGGCGGCATCATAAAAGTGGCCCGTTGTCAAGCACACAATGAAGAGGAGCACATGTGACCCCCATACCTTTATATTTGCTGAAATTGCATTTGCTTCAGCAAGAAGGATGTGCGTGATATTCGCCTTGATATCACAATGTGTACATTCTGCCAACACACAAGAAGCGGTATCTTGAATGTTGTGGCAGACAGCTCATGTTAGTGGCGCCGTGGGTTGCACAGCTGGAGGCGGCGAGGTTCCGAGATAAAGTGGCTTGTGGGAACGAGGTGAAAATGACACATGCACGACAAGATAAAACACAAGATCAGAGACACCCACAGTTTGCAGCTCATGTTCCACATAGGGGACGAGCTTCGGAACTTCTCTCGGGGCATGTGTGGAAGTGGATGCGTGTGCGTACGTGGCCTGCCTTCGATGCTCGGTAGTTGCTGTTTTCTGGAATTCGTAGAAGTATGCCGGCTCCTATCTGTACTGTCCTCAAGTCCCTAGATGAATATAAACATCTGTATCAGCCGTGCTGGAGTCGGCCCGGGTTGTGGATTGGCGAATGTCGACCAGGATTTGGGTTTCCATAGATATGTGTCCGGAGTCGAAGCACATGCATCGAGTGGCTGTAGCAGCACAAATTTAGGAGTTCATGTGGAGAGCGGCTCCTTTCTCCGTTGATATCATAAGCTCGTGGATCGCAGGATTCCTTCTGCAGCTGTTTTACGGTAAAGGGGGCAGATCAACGTTCCAAGAAACCGGAGCACGCCTGAGCTTTTGACACGATCGAGTGCCATTTCGATCAGTGTTGCTCTTAATGACCTGTGCTCCTGTATAGCCTGTTTCACCTGTACCTTGTAGTTGTTGCCATTTGGAATCTCCGAGTCTCCGTATGAGCCTTTCGAGGATAAGCCGATCCCACTGAGGCGGAGCTGGAAAGCACTTCGAACAGCCCAGGAAATCCGTGAAGCCAAGAAGTTCAGAGTCTTGGACAGCTTATTCCACTGAAGCTTCAGATCAATGAGGCTGATACTCATTTGTGCAGGTGAGGACCACGGCGTGGAGCATGGCCGGGGCGGAGTGAGCAGAGTCGTGGTCGGTTGTATTCGTGGATTCCTGATGATGGAATCAATGCAATCGAGGAAATTGGGGCTTCGGGGCGGCCTGAAGATAAACTCGTGCCAAGGACGCCAAGTCTTTCCTGATATAGACTAGTCTCGAGGTAGTTACATAAGTGCTGACTGATCTTCTGGGCGCAGCTTTCCATCTCCGTATCTCAAACAGTTGCCTTCATCACTCTCCGCCCCTTTGGATCTGCCTCGGGACAGCCTCTGGAGTCCACAGCCAGATCGCATCCGCATACAGGGTATAGCTGCCATTGACTTTGCCTGACTACCTGCAAGCATAGCCATTGATAGCACGTTGCTGTAGCACATTTGTCATTCCCCGTCGCCGAGCTCGCTTTGGATTGGACAACCTGATAATATTTTCCTTGAGGAGGATCTGAAATGGGCCTGACAACGAGCCGTTATGTGGTTTCGTCACGATATCGCGGCCCACTGCACACGAAGTTCCCCGTTTGGAGCTGCGCCAGCGGTCCGCAATGCGTCGATCCGCTCCATCGGCGGGCTGGATGCGAGCGTCGCTTCGGTACCGGCTGGTGAGAGCTCTCTACATGAAACTCGACCCGCCTACTCAAGTTCAAAGAGGCTGCTGTAGGCCAAGAAATTGTTTAGACATCATGCTGCCAACTAATGTCCGATCTGCCTTTTTGGTTGAAGGGGTACATTCATTCCCTTTCCTCCAGCAGATATAAGTTCAGGCTCTTTCTTTCTTTGAAGGATTTGTCTTTTGTCATTCATACAGAAGCAGCTGGGACACAGAGCTACATATCCTCACCATTCAAGCACGTTTCAATCACATCTTCGAGACCTCCAATCATACCGAACAAGTGTTGCTCCAATGGAGGACCAGACACCGCTCCATATGCAGACAACAGAGTATATGGGACTCCAGACAGAGGAGTCGGCAGATCAGACTGATAGGATGTCAATGGATCATACTGGCCCCATGGAGGAGGCAATGGGAGGAATCAGCAACCCCATGCCGACCTCAGATCCTGATAACCCCCAGAACTGGCCCCTACACCGAAAGGTCTATGTCTCCCTCGTCGCCTTCTCGTTCGCTTTTGCAGTGTATGTACACCACTTCCCCTCCTCTCAGTATGCTTAAAGCTGACACATCGACAGCGCATTTGGGCTCACGTCGTACACGATTGGCATTGGCGATGTGGTCGCAGAGTTCAACATCTCAATGACTCTCGCCATTGCTCCATTCTCCCTTTACCTTGTCGGCATTGCTTTTGCCCCGGTCTACACTCCTCATGTGACGGAAAGATTTGGCCGTGCCCCAGTCTACTTTGTCAGTCTGCCAATCTGCGCCTTGTTTCTCCTTGGCTCCAGTCGAGCTCAGAGTATTGGAGCCCTGGCCGTCTTGCGATTCTTCGCTGGACTTGGAGGGGGCCCATGTCTCGTGCTCATCGAAGGCACATTCGCAGATGTCTGGCCTGCGAGGACTACTGTTACATACTACTCGGGCTTGACCCTAGCTTCGTATCTCGGGGCTGCTTTCGGTATTGGAATCCCATGTCCCATTTTGTTTGGACAGATACTGATATCTCGGCCACAGGACCCATCATTCTCGGGAGCATCGTCCCAAGCACGTCCTGGCGATGGACGGCGTATGTTTCCCTGATGGTCTGTCTCGCGGCATACCTCATCGGCATCGGCGCTCCAGAGACCTATGCTCGAGAGATTGTCCGCACACGAGCTCGACGCGCGGGCAGACCTCATGATCTTCCCCCTGCTCAATCGGGCACCACTCTCCGCCGCATGGCCCAGCTAACCGTTGTCGACCCCCTGATCATGATATTTACCGAACCCATCGTCATCATGACGACGCTGTACGTGTCCTTTGTCTTCGGCACCACATTCCAGTGGTTCATCGCCGTCCCCGCGGCTCTCAATTTGACGTATGGATTCGGCATCCGATCTTCCGGGCTGGCATTCATCTCCGCCGTGGTGGGCGCTTTGCTCGCCGCCGGCACGGCGACCGTGATCGAGCAGTTCCTGATCCTGTTAAAGATGCGGCAGTGCAGGGACCAGGAGATGGTGCAGATGGAGATCGAGTACAGGCTCGTCCCCGCGATGGTCGGCGGAGTTTTGATGACGGGCGCCTTCTTCTGGGTCGGCTACACGACCGTGCCTTCGATCAATCACTTTCTGCCCATCGTCGGCACAGGCATCTATGTTTGGGGGAGTATGATGATTCTGGTACGGAAATAACCCTTTGCCGTCCTCCTCTTGCTTGCCACTTTTGACCGCTCATCATACTCACACCCCACCATGCACCTATGCAACCCCCCCCCCCCCCCGTACATACGATGTCGTCGTTATTCCCCCCTGAATTGATTGATTGATTGATTGACTGACTGACTGAACTTCTGTTTCGCGCCAAAAAAAACAGATATCCTACATCTCATACCTCTTCGACGCCTACCCCGCGACGGGCACGCTCTCGGCGCTCACCGTGGCCGCCAGCCTGCGCCTCCTCGTCGCCGCCGCGATCCCCCTCGCCATCATCCAAATGATCACCAACCTGGGCGGCGACTGGGCGTACGGCACCTTTGGCGTCATCTCCGCCGCATTGTACCCTATCAGCATTGTCGTTTTCAAGTTCGGAGCGAGGCTGCGCATGAGGAGCAGGTACAGTGGCAGTGGCGGTGATGGCAGTGGTGGACATGGTCTTGTGATGGTCACCCTGCGCACGCATCAGCGGGTCAAGTCGACGCCCGCGAACGGCATGGACTCGTCGTGAGTGACTCTTTCTCTCTCTCTCTCTCTCTCTGTGTGTGTGTGTGTGTGTGTGTGTGTGGACTGGAGAGAATAGAGCCTATATTCAGGATCTGCACAGTCACAGTGGCAAATAAATCGTCAGGGAATTTGCGTTATATACAAGTGACAAGTTACAGGTTACAGGTTACAGGAAAGAGAAGGATGGGGGGATATATCTCTGGCTGCTGTTTTCGTATATCCTAAAAGCAAATTTCCATCTGTATTCTCCCCCAAGTTTTCGTGCGTGCCGATATTTAAGGATAGAATCTGGCTAACTAGCTAGCTACATAACAATCAACTCTCTTTCCAAGTTCCCACCATCCATCCTCTGTCTATTCATGTCATGTCATATCATGACGGTCCGCCTCGGGAACAGACCCTGCGCCCCACGATTGTGATCCTTCCAGACTATCGCCAATCCCCTGCCAATCCCTGGATCATCTTCGACTGACAGATTTCCTTCCCATCCAATTTTCCTTTCCATACCGTATTGTCTCATGTTGCCTCATACTGTCTCGTATATCTTGGGAATAGCCGTCCCCATAACTCAGACCCCACACGGAACGGCAAGCAACAGCCACCAGTCAACGGCCACCAGCACAAACACAAACACAAACACCCTCTCATGCGCGCGCGCAATATCTCACACTCACTGTTTCAATTAGAACCAGAAAGAGAGGACACACGCGGCGGTCATGTAGACGCTGAGGAAGGTGTACTGGGCCTCAAAGATCCAGGCGACCCACGAGGTCTGGGTCTTCTTGGACGATTCCTTGGGGTAGGCGACGCCGGTGACGGGGTCCCTGTCGAGCAGCTCCTCCCTGTCGGGGACCGAGGGCGGGAAGAGGGCGTAGTTGATGGGCGCCCAGCAGGCCAGGCCGCAGGTCATCCAGATGATGGGAGGCCACCCCGCGTGGGTCAGCACGTCGATGAGAATTTTGGTCTTCGTGTCGTTTTGCGGGTTGGTGATGTTGGCGTGCAGACTGATGCCGACTGCGGCGAGGATGAACACGATGTAGGCGACGTGGAGGTAGCATTGACAGTCCCAGATGGTGACTTTGAGACGACGCCACAAGGGCGCCCGGAGGCGGGCGTCCCGTTCGTTGAGTTGATCCTTTTGTGACCCGGACGACGTGAAGACGGCGACTTTGCCTCCCAACCACTTGGGAAGGACGAAGGTGCGGATGACCGAGATGGCGTGGACTGAAAGACGTGGTTAGAGGGCTCAAACATGTCGCCGGGGTAAACTACTCACATGGTGACATCCACAACAGAGCCCTGGTATCTCTCTGGCCAGTGCGATACCCCGAGGGCAAGAAGGAGATCATCTCGTTCACACGGTTCAAGAGCATGCTGAGGAATGCAGAGCGAATGAGCCATCGCAACTGATTGTTGTCTGCGTATGGGACAAGCTTGCCGCCGGAAGCGAGCACAAGAGGTGCAGTGAACATCGACGCCACGAGGAAGACGGTGAACAGTGAGGAGATTGTGTAGACAAACCCGCACAGTCGCTGGGCGATGGTCATTTGCTTCACCAGCGGACCACATAAGCTGAATCTCAGCTTCAGGGCGGTTTGGACGGTGCCGATGGTCTGTGACAGTTTAGCAACCCGACAAAGGTACAATGTGTGACCGACTTACCCATCTTGTGCGTTGCTTCAAGTGGCTCACTAGAGAATCAGGCACAGTTCCAAATTGCAGGGGCTCGTGGACGAAGGCGGTATTCCAGCCTGAGCCAAGAAGCATGCTCGAACAGCAGACATCCTCAGCAAGAGATCCAGTGGGAAATCCTCCGATCGAGGCGAGGGCAGAACGTCTCAGAACATAACCTGATCCAGTGCACCAGGCCACACCGAGAGAGTCCTTGATCGGTTCCGCGATATGGACAAAGGTATCCAAGCTCTGGCAGAGAGGATCATCCCTTGGCACATTGTAGAATAACTACTCGAACGTCAGTAAATACCGCCTTCGCCAGAAGGAAAGAGGCGCCTAACGTACCTGTGGTGGACAGGCCATCGAGCACTTTGGATCCTGAAGCATGTGAGGCAGGAGTGCCCGGAGCCAGTCTTTCATGGGAATCATGTCAGCATCAAGGGCCGCAAGAAAGTTGGCCGCCCCTCCCGGTAGTTTCTTGGTCTCTTCGATAGCATCATTCAAATTACCGGCCTTGAAGTGATGTGGGACGCCAGGGTATTTCGGTCTTGAGCGGTAGTAGAGGTTCGGATACTGAGTCAAGGCAAGCTTCTCCACCAAATTCCGCAATGATTCAGACTTCCCGTCGTCGCAGACCATGACGCGAAACCGTTCGCTAGGATAGTCGATGTTGCAGGCTGCTTTGGCGGTATCGAGGATCAGATCGTCTTCTTCCCGACAGCAGGTGATGACCACGTCGACCGAAGGAACGTTGTCTCCGACCAAGCGAAGCTTTGGTCTCTTCCTCAACCCAATAATATGCCATCCCCAGAGACTCTGCAGCAACACCGGAAGTGAAACCAAGAGCTCGACGATAATGAAAGCCCACGCCATCCAGAATACATCATGTGCAGCATTCTCGGCAGCTACGGTGAACTTGACGCGGAGAACGAAATACAACCAGTTAGCTCCAATCGTAATGATGACCAAGAGTGGGCAGAGCCTGTAAAGGATGCGTTTGAGGGTTGAGAGTCGCTCGATGTCGTCGTGCATTGCGAGTCGCTGGATCAAATAGTCATCCTCTTTCTCACTCATGCCTGGGCGAACCGTAGAATCGTCCGAGAAGGCTTGGGAGGTTCGGGCAAGCTCTGGAGCGGATATAGCGGGGATTTCGGACGTTTCGCAAGAGTAGCGGCGGGCATCAAACTGGCCTGGTGCAGAGTAGCCAGCCGAGGAAACGCCTCGGATTTCGTTGATCGCAAGCCCCAGAGGGTTGCCTTGCGTTACTGTAAGGGGATCAACCTTATGCGCGGCATCGACTATGGCAACGGAAGCCCGTTTGGTGATATTGGACATCCTTCTGCGCATCTCGTTCGTGTGCGACGAGGTACACGCTGTAGCGTGGGTGTTGGCAGAAGAGGCGTTGGAAGGATGTCGCAAGACGGGAAGAGACCATTTCAGGTGTTCGGAGGCGGTGGAATTCTGCTCAGGTCAGAGCGACTCTCTCAGATAAACAAGTGTAACTGCATACCTCGGCATGATCGCGAGTGTCGACATCATGGGGTCTATCCGAGGGGCCAGCATCATCTGACGTTCCATCTCCGGTTGCTTCCACAGAGGACACCGTTGAAGCACGACGAGCCCGGGTCGAAGACGCCGTTGACGAACTCCTAGAGGTGGGTGATCCCATGGTTGCTACGTACCTGGGTAATGCTCGAGGACTGAGGATGGAGGTGCAAAAACCTCGGGGTAGATCCCAGATTTATGCGCATTAAGTATGTGGCGATGAAATTCGAATTTGGCTTTCCTTGCACATGGAAAAGCATTCATCTTCTCCTGTCAATGAGGACATGCAGCAGAAAGTTTCGCAGGTCTCAGACCCCTCTTCAGAACCGATCGACACGGCTTCAGCGAACTCATGTTATTCGTCTGTCCTTGGGAACAGAAGATTAGATCCGTAGGTTGGAGACGGTACCGACGAGCTGAACCCCTTGAAGGAACATAGCAGAGCCCCAAGCTGGCTTATGTTCTGGAGACTTCGTCTGCCCAGTACGAACCATCACAGCCGCAGGTGATATGCATGAGCTTGTTGCGCATTTTCCGTCTACCAGAGTTGGGTGGTGCATACAATTCGCCAGTCGGGAAAGGTCAGAAGATGACAATCCACGCCAGCCCCCGTCCTCCCATCGGCTAGTAGGTGTTGGAGTTCTGGATCCGCAAAGGTGAGCCATGGCGACATGGCGAGCCCGTCGATCTGGACTGGAGGTCCTCATGGAATCAAGACGGGTCGATCTGGAAGTCAAAAGGCTTTTTGATACTGGATTGATTCACAGGCTGCCAAGATGAGGAGGACGTGCATCTAGCGCAGCCGCCATGACGAGCTTGAGTAGCTGGCCACTGTCCCTCATCAGTCACTTGAAATTGCTGAAGCACGAGTTGTGCCCAGTTGCTCTCATCACGAGTTTGACACGAAGTCGCAGTTGTTGCCAAGCCTTTATGCCAAGAAATGAGACCCACAAAACAGATCCATTAAAGGGGGAACAGAGCCTTACGTGCACGTGAGATACGAGATGGCAGATCCATTCCACAGCAGTCAATTTGTTCTACTCTTCTCTCCACATATAGGGGTTCCCTAAAGGCTATACCAAGCAGATTCTCAAGTAAAAAGCAGGTCAGGCTGATACATTGAGTTATATAGCCACCTGTCTACTTCCTACCCTCCTCATCCTCCCCTTCGACATGAAACCCCCAATCCAAAATAGCACCTACTTGCCTAACCCTCTACCAAGACACCATCGACCTGCTTCTCGTCCGGCCCTAATAGCCCCAAAGCCTCCCGTCTCGTCGGCGCACTAGGGTCAAAGAAGGGCTTCTCCGCCAGAGAAGTGACCCGTGTACCATGTCGCGGGTAGTTGCCAGCATAATCCCAAGAAGCATTATGGATCTCGGAGAGAGTTAGCAAGTCAGCAGTCGAGGGCGGGTTTAGCCATGGAAAGCAACAAAACTCACCGTGATTCTGTTATCCCAAAGAGCTGTTTCGAATCAAAATTGGTTCCGTTAGCGGCCAACAAAATGAACTTGATGAGACAACTGCTGTTGATGGAAAGGGGGAAAAGGACATACCACTCGTGCCCGGCGTCCATTTGAACCGAACCTGGATATCGACATTCCTCTCGTACACATCGTACAGGTACCCCAGGATGAGGTCACTCTCGGGCTTGTCAAGCCCGACAATTCGATCAGTCATGGCTCTGTTCACCCACAACGCCTTCCAGCCGGTCGCCGGGTGCACGCGGACTAACGGGTGAGTTCGTTCGATATATTTCGGCCCGCCGGTTGGGTTCTCACGGT